TCAAACTATTTTTTTAAATAAAATTATTAATGTTTTTCTTAAAAATTCTATAATGTATTACATGTACATTCCTAGAACAAATGTTATACACCTTTAGATTTTAAAATATAACATTCTGGCAAATTTTCAAATATTGATATTGAAATGTTAAAGAAATACCCCCAGATTTCCATTTTTGTTCTGCCCCTAAAGGTGGGAGTTGCAGCATGGAGAATAATAACTCAGAGCTACGGTTTCAGCACCACCATGTCTTAGCTTTGTGACTGTGGCATTTTAGGCAATTTTGCATTGCAAGATACTGACTCAAACATGTGCCCTCAGGGAATAGGGTTGGGATTTGGTTCTTGTTCCTTTGGTAAAGAATACATATGCAAATTAGAAAAACTGAAATCTCAGCTGCGGGTATCAGACTTCCCAGGAATAACAGAAAAGTTGAACAACCAAGTGTCCTAGAAGAGGGATGCACGCTGGGTTGGGCTTTCTGGAACATAGAATCTGAAGGGTTTTCAGAACCCAACGCATCAGTTGATGGATCTTTTCTTTAGAGCAGGGGTTCTCATCCTACTGAACATCTCAATCACAGGGGAGTGTTTTGAAAAACTGAGGGTTGGGCGCCTGGGTGGCTCAGTTGGTTAGGTGACTGACTTCAGCTCAGGTTATGATCCTGGAGTTCCGGGATTGAGTCCCGCATTGGGCTCCCTGCTCTGCGGGGAGTCTGCTTCTCCCTCTGACCCTCCCCCCTCTCATGCTCTCTCTCTCTCTCTATCTCATTCTCTTTCTCAAATAAATAAATAAAAAATCTTTAAAAAAAACCACAAAAACACCTGAGGGTTGCTGGATGAGAGGTGGGTGGGGGGAAGGGATAATTGAGTGATGGGCATTAAGGAGGGCACTTGATGTAAGGAGCACTGGGTGTTATATGCAGCTGATGAATCACTAAATTCTACCTCTGAAACTAATGAAAAATTACAGATTGTGTGAAAACTAAACAAATGCAAAACTAAAAACTTAAAACAAAATAAAACAATACAAAAAAACCCCAAAACAAAAATATATAGATTGTGGGGGGTGCTTGGCTGGCTCAGTCCATAGAGCATGTGATTCTTGATCCTGGGGTATGAATTTGAGCCCCACATGTGGTGTAGAGTTTACTTAAAAATATAGATAGATAGATGATAGATAGATAGATAGATAGATAGATAGATAGATAGATAGATAGATGATAGGTAGATGGGACAGTGAGACCCCATCAGCAAAGGCTTTGGTCTAGTCCATATGCGGCAGTGCCCTGATCACTTTGTTGTTAAAAATCTTCCACATGAATTTTGAATGCCCTGCTGTCTGCATTGCCTGATTTTGCTATTGTTTCATTGTCTGCTTCGTGATCAGCCCACTACCGGTTGGTTCCCTAGCTTCAACTATGTGTGTCTTCTTTATCACAGAGTCAGTGCTTCATCTCCTTCAAGTCTTAGCTCAAATACTACCTTCCCAGTGAAGCCTTTCCTAGTCCTATGATTAAAAACTGTACCCTACCCCTTACACTTTCTAGTCCCCTTTCCTGCCTAATTTTTATCCAACACTTACCCCTTTCTAATATACTCTTTGATTTACCTACTTATTGTGTTTATTGCCTGTCCCATCCACCAGAATGCAAGATCGAAGGGGCAGAATTTTTGTGTCATTTGGCCATACCGTAACTTTGGCACCTAAACCAGAGATGCTTAATAAGTATTTGTTGACTATATGAGTTGAATGTGTAATGAATAGATGTTTTCTGTTTAGTCATTGGCTGACATTATTCTGTCAGAGCCCTACTCACCCATGGGCACCCTGTGTGTCTCCTTTTGGATTCAGCTGGCCTGATTGGACCAGCTTTTTGGGATTGAGTGCTTTTTCCTCACCCCTCCAGGTCATTTTTGAATGGGTGCAACCTGGCTGTTCATGTGTCAGGGGTAATCAGCAGTGATTCAGGGATTACACATTGCAATAGTACTGCCTGGAGCCTCCCCTTCAGCATGAGCTGTGGGTGGGGCAGTTTCTCCAAGAAGCCAATTTTGGTGCAGAGTTAATTGTTCAGCAAATTCCCTAAGCCTGCTGAGCTTCAGTAAAATGGTGCCTTGGTCTGCCTTACCTCAGTGAATTCTTCAGAAGTTCCAGTGAATAATGTGTGGGAAACACATACACATAAAAGGTGTTTTCAACATTCATTTATTATAAAAAATAAAACAAGATGAGTATGAAAAGTTATTTAATTTTAGATGACATTTAAATGTGGCTTTTAATAAAAAGCCTGAGGGAAATTATAGGTGAGAAATTAGGAATTTAGGAATTTGTTGCTTAAAGTGCCTTTGGGATTCTTTTGCCCCCACCACTGAAAGTTTTTTTAAACGTTATTCTCCTTTCACTGATTTCTATTTTGGCAGGGGCTCCTGGTACATAACTCCCAAAGTGATATTTAAGAGGAATAAATGCAAAGATCTGCACTCTGTCTTCGAAAACAAATTGCACAAATACAGGTTGAAGGAGATATGGTTCTATAGCTGTCGATGTATTAAAGACTTCTAAAAGATTTGGGGGTATTTCTGTTTGTATTTAGTTCGCAAAAACATGATATTTATGAACAGTGTGCGGCAGTAGAAAAATGTTATTGTGATATCAAACTGAATTTTGAATTATCATAAAATTGTAGAAAAGTGTACTTTACTATTCCTCTCTTCATACTTGGATTATTGGACTCAGTTCCAGATGCCACATTTTAAGAGGCAGCAGGGTATATTCAGATGAGAGTGTATGAATACGAAAGGAGCATGAGAGGGAAGCATGGTGTGGGAAGGCATGTGCTATGGTTGCTGGCTTCAAACATTTAAACGGCTATATATGGAAGGGGAATGGGACCGTTCTGTACTCAATACATGGTACTAGATTCCAATTCACTGGGCACTTTAATACACATTGTATTCATATTTATAATAATGGTTTAAGGTATTATTGTTTTTCCCAATTTAGAGTTGAACAAACATCCTTGGAGTGGTTTTGTGCTAGTCCAAGTTTATACAGCTAGGAAGTATTATAACTGGGATCTGACTACACCACTTTGGAACTTAAATCCAGTGGTATTTCCTACCAATACCATAACTACCTACAAATTTATAAGGAGACACATTTCAGTTCACTGTAAGGAACTAGAGAGGACTGTTCAAAGACTAGAAGAACTGTTCAAAGATGAATACTGTTGTGAGGTATTGAGTGGTTCCCTATCACTTGGAGTTCAAGCATATGCTGGACAGCTACTTTCCAAGGATCTGGTAGTCCCTCAATTTATACACATACTGTATAAGGAAGGACTTACTTACCTTAATAACAAAATGTTAAAAATGAAGGCTAATCATAGAGCCAAAGGAACATAAGTGAGGCCTAGTAAACTTAAGTGATTGATCTATGTTCATTAATTCAGTAGTTATTGGAAAATATGGCATTCCAACTTCATTCTCTGGATTTACAACCTAATTTTTGTTTTTGTTTGTTTGTTTGTTTTCTGTTACAGCAGTTATCCCTTATCTACTAACTGGGTAATACAGTGTAGAACTAGAGGATATGGAAAGAGGAAAGGCAGAGATGTTTGGGAATTATTGTAATGGATTGTTTTGCATGCTCTTGCTTTATTAAAATAAGCAAAGAATGTGAGTGGTAGTAGGAGAGGGTTTTAAATAAGCAGAGAATGCCACCTAGTAAAGGAAGAACAGAATACTGTGGATTGTACTGTTCTTTCCCTCCTGATGAGTAGATGCTCAACATCTATTTGCTGGAAGGAATGATGTCAACTCTCAACAAATATGTAAAGGGAAACTTCTTAGTGCTGAGCACTTTGCTATGTCTGGGAACCAAAAATGAACTAGACCAAAATATCTATCCTTTTAAGGAACTCAGTCTAGTAACAAAAGACCACGGAGCAAAGCAATATGAAAAAAGAAAAAAGTACTAAGGATAATCATAGAGAAGAGATAAAAGATTCCATGAAGGCATAAAGGAAAAGAGTATTTAATTCAGTGTAAGTGCATAGGGTGAGCGTGTGGGTGGGTGTGGAGGAAAGAGGGGATGTCAGGGAAGATTCCAAAGAGAAAGTGATGCATTTATCATCTTGAAGGAGAGTAGGAGTTCACCTGGTTAAATGAGGAATAGATTTCAGATGGGGGAAAATGTACGGAGATATTGAGACAGCCTTTTGCATCTGTGCGTGAAATGTGGTGGGAGTCAGAGCTGGAGCTGAAGAGGTCTAGGGATCAGGTTATAAATGGCCTTGTATACCGGGTAATTAGGCTTGAATCTGATTGTCCTAGGTGGACAGCCTCTGAAGAATTTTAAAAGAAGGAGGCTCTTTGGTTTTGGAGCATTCTCTGACAGTCACGTGGAACAGAAGCAGAAGGGAAATTAGAAAGGCTTGAGAGAGTGGCAAATAGGTTGAAATAGCGGAGACAGATTATTAGTCACAGGATTAAGAGGAAGAATTCATCCATGGGATTTCAAATCAGAGAACTTTAGTGGAGAGAAATTTGATTGCCTAGTTGTCAGAATGGCAAGATTTTATCAATGGAACTAGGTGATACTGAAGTGAGCGGCATAGTGGGTAATACGGAAGGCCTGGGATTGGGACCATATGGTTGTCCTGAGCTTGTGTGTATTAGCTGATGACTCTTTTGAACTGAATTCAGGAAATGACATAAAAATGATTTGCGCAATAAAATTAGAAGAAGGAAGACTCTGAAGTCGGTACATTTGTAGAAAAATAACTAGGGTTGGTGAAGATGGGGAAGTAGCCATTACCAGAGGGCCATTTGTGAATAAATTTTGGTCTGTCCAATGGAAAGATCCCCGAAGAAAACCAAATGCCCTGAATCCAGCCCTTCCTCACTACGACCCGTTCCCCAGTAGCTGCCTTCATTCTTCAGACTGTGGGGGCCAGAATTTTGGAAAATCTTGAAGGCCATGTACTCAAACCTACGTATTTCAGGATGAGGACAGAGAAAACAAACGACTTGCAAGACGTCAAGTAGCGGGGTCTTTCCTTAAGCCCGCGCTTCCTGACTTCAGGTCCGGTGCTCCTTTCATTACCCACACCGCTGCGGGCTGGGAAGCGCGGAGCCCCCCGCGTGCCGAGGTTCGCAGGGTCTGCCAGGGGTGAGTCGAAGGCCCCTTCCTCGCCCCGCCCCCACCGCAGCCCCTGTGGAACTCCCCGTCCCGCCCCCTTCCCGCGCCGGGCGGGGTCGCTGCGCCGCCGCTACTCGCGCGCGCGCGGGGTCGCGCGGACGCGGGGAGGGCCGCGAGTGCGGGGAGGTCGCCGGGCCGCCAGCGCCGCCGCCCCTTGCCTGACGCACGGAAGGGCCGGGACGCGATTTGCCGCGAGTGGCTGGAGTAGCCGCCGCCGCCGCCGTCCAGGCCCGCTCCGCCCCCAGCCCGCCTTCCTCCCGCCTCGCCCTCCGCCTCCGTCCGCGCCTCGCTCGCGTCCCCGCGTCCTCCCCACCAACCCCGGAGGTGTCGGCCGCCCGCGCCAGCGCCAGCCAGGTGAGTGTGGCCGCTGCGCGGCCCAGGCGGCCCGGGCGGGAGGAGCGCGCAGGCCCCGCGGCCGGGTGGCGAGCGCGGGCGGGTGGAGGTGGAGGCGGCGGCGGCGGCGGCGGCGGGCCCGGCTTTCTTCCTGGGCGCGGGCCGCGGGGCTGTGGAGCCGCAGGGCTGAGGGAGGGGCGCCCGCGCCCCGCTGCCGCCGCCACCGCAGACAAAGCGCCTGAGGTGGGAGCCCCGCGGGTGGCCTCTGCCTCCGCGCTGCCTGCCGGGTGCGGCCGCGGCCCGCAGAGCCCGGGCTGCTCTGGTTTTTACCCCTGAGCGCCCTTGTTCATTTCTGGGTGAAAGGGACCCGCATAATGCAACAGGTTTGGGCGTTAATCCTTATTTTCCAGCGGGTCTCGTCCTCCGGGCGTGCAGGCACCACATGCGGCGGCGCCCGGCCCCCGGGCGAGCCCAGCGTCCAGCCCCGGCGGCGGGCTTCTTTGTGTGGCCGGTGACCAGCCTTGCCCGGTGGGTGGGGGACTCCCGTCCGAGGCCCCCGGGCTGCGGGGAGGCTCCTGGCTGCCTCCCTCGCGGCTTGGGGCTTGGCTTTCCCCCGGGCCTGCAGGATGTTAACATCCCTCCAGCCTTTGGAGGATTCACAAAGGGAAGGAAGAGAGGGTTGGCAAGGATTTGTCGTTATGTATTTATTTTTTATATGTTAGGTAGACTGATAGTAGAAAAGAGCCGCAGTCTGGCCGGCTCATGAGGGTGCGGGTGGGATTTCACGCTGGGATGCACGGTGGGATGCATGGACTTGGTGCTGCTCTGACAGCAAGTGCTTTTCTTGGTGCTTTGACATCTTTCATACACAGATATCAGCCCAGAAGTTGGAAGTGCTGTTGAGGGAGTAACTCTGTAGCAGCTGTTTGGCAGGTCACCTCTTTCTGCACATTTTGTCCGTGCCAAATACACCCGCTACACATCCTGGCAAAGGTTGGCAAACTCTCAAAATTGCCACTCAGAATACCCCCATTTTGGAAAATATTAATCCATATGGTTTTCTTTGGCTTGATTTTGGCTTATTTTCTTAGGTGTGAAAAACTTTTTTCTCCCCCCCCCCGCCCCCGCAAGGAAGAATACATAACAAAGAACAATTTATTTTTGTTCACATACCTTGGTCATGCTGTTACCTAGTTGGTGTCATTGGTATGCTATTTTAGTATAACAATACTAAATGGAAGGAAAATATCTTTTGCTTTGAGCAATAAAATGCTTCTTTGTTCTAGAACCAGGAAGCTTTTATACATAATTTCTGTGGACAAAAGTTGGTGACTGTCTTTACCCCATGACCCAATACATGAAAAAATTCCCAAATGACTTAGAAAGCATTACACAACTCTATAGATTTGTTTTTCTATCCCAAACTTGAGGAAATCATTTTGCTATGTATTTAATCAAGTAATCTAGACGAAATTTAATCTTAAAATTTGGGCCTTACTCTATAAATTCCCCAACATTAGGGAATGAATTGATTACTTTTGGAGTTTGTTGAGCATTGTAAGCCCTGAAAATAATAATAGGAAAGAGTAGTGGAGATAGGAGCTGGTGGTGGATTTAGCAAAGTGACCGCAGATTGGAACATGGAATGTGGTAGCGGTTGCAAAGTTCCACCTACTTGGGTTTTAGTTGATCAGTGGGTAAGGCCATATCTGAAAAGTAGATGTCCACTAATTAAAAAAGCAGAAAAGAGTGTTACATTCTGGCCTATTTTTTTTTTCCCCTCGGTGTACTCTGTAAAGACTCCTTGAAGCTCTTTCTAGTCCTTAAAAACAAACTTCCTTTTAATAGGGACTTTTCTTTTGAAGAAATAAAATTATACCAAATTAATCTGATCCATAGAAAGTTTCTCTAACATAATTAGTAGTTTTACTTTACCCAAAATACCATTCATCCTGGTAACATCTAACTTCAAAGAGCTTTTATAGCTGTTACAGACTATAGGAACAACCTCTTGAGAAAAGTAGCATTTTGACTAATGAAAAGGAGCAGAAACTTACATTTCTATAATAATTTTTTTTATTGAGGTATGATTCATATACTGTAGAATTCACTCTTATAACATGTACAATTCAGTGGTTTTAGTATATTTACAGGGTAGTGCAGACATCACCAGTTCAAGAACATTTCCATCATGCTGAATAGAAACCCTGATACCCATTTACCTGTCACCCTCATTCCTCCTCCCCTGCACTTGGCAACCACTGATATAATTTCTGTCCAGAGATTTGCCTGTTCTGGACATTTCATATAAATGGAATCATACAAATATGTGGCCCTTTGTGTCTTACTTAGCATAGTAGTTTTAGGGTTCATCCATATTATGCATGTATCACTACTTCATTCCTTTTTATGGCTGAATAATCTTTCTTATATTGATATGCCACATTTTGATTATCCTTTCATCAGTTGATGGACATTTGGGTTCTTTCCACTTTCTGGCTATTAGTAATGCTGCTGTGAACACTTATTTACAAGTTTTTGTGTGGACATATGTTTTCAGTTCTCTTGGGCGTATACTTAGGTGTGGTATTGCTGGGTCGTATGATAACTCTGTTTAACTTCTTGAGGAATTGCCAAACTATTTTCCATAGCTGCTGTAGCATTTTACATTTCCACTAGCAAAGTATGAGGGTTCCATTTTCTCCAGTACTTGTTAATGTTGTCTTCTTGATGATAGGCATCCTGGTGGGTGTGAAGTGGTATCTCATTGTGGTTTTCATTTGCGTTTCCCCAGGGTCTAATGATGTTGAGTATGTTTTCATGTTCTTATTGGTCATTTGTTTATCTTCTTCAGAAAAATGTCTATAATAGTTTCTAACTTTATGTTTTCACATGTATTTTCTCATTTTGTCTTTGAAATAATTCTGTAAGTTAGGTTTATTCCTATTTTACTTCTGGGAAGCTAAGGTGCAAAGAGGTTAAATAATTTGCTTGTTTTTTAACCTTACAGAGTTAGTAGGGTTTGAATATAAACTCAGGTCTTCTCACTGTGCTTCCTGCATTCTTTTCACCTCAAAAGGCATAAAGAAGTTAAATTGTGTTTGCAAATTTACTTGGCTAATTATTGACAAAGTGGGGGAAAATAAAAAGCAGACCAAACAACGAAAAGCAGGTGGCCATACTGCCTCATATTCACCAGACTTTGTTATTCTTTTTAAAATAAATTCTTTGTTTTCTCCTATCCTAATAAGGTAGATATGCTTTTCATATTTCCTCTAGGGAAGTAGTCAGAACGATTAAACCTAGTAACATACCTTCTTGGTAGCATAGCTAGCTAATCCTAGAACCCACTCTTCACTGAGACATTGTGTTTTATATTACCCTGCAGCTTCCATGTTCTTTATTTTCTCACTAATTTATTCCCTTTATCTTAAAATAATTGAATAATTTCACATTTTTCATAAACATTAAAATTCCGAATGAAACTGAAATTAACTTTTATTTTTGAGTAGGGCAGTTTGCCAGTTTTCATTTTGAAGTGCAGGATTACTAAGGTACATATTTCAGTTTTTATGTGGTACTCTGTATCAGACATAGGTATGTAAAATTATCAGCTCCTTAGAGGGTAGGTAGAGGCCATATGGTAGTTATTCATCTTTGCATGTCCATTGTCCAACATAGTGCCCAGCACGCTGAATACAAATGAATTTTTTTAACACCCCCCCAAAAAAACCCAGTAAAAATTATCTGTTACTCTTTTTTAGAAGAAAGGCAGTACAAATTCCAGAAAAAGAGTATTTCTTACCCTGACACATGACCTAAAAAAAAATAAATGATAAAAATTAGAACTTAATTTAAAATTCAACACTCTATCTTATGGAAGGAAGTAACTGTTTTTCCATCCTGTGTTTTAAAAAAATAGGCTGTAGACAGGGTGCCTCGGTGGCGCAGTTGGTTAAGAGTCCAACTCTTGGTTTTGGCTCAGGTCGTGATCCTCAGGGTCGTGAGATGCAGCCCTGCGTTGGGCTCCATGCTCAGCTGCTTAAGACTCTACTCTCTCTAACCCTCTGCCTCTCCCCCTGCGCACACACGCTCTCTCTGTCTCTCTCTCAAATAAATAAATCTTTGAAAAAAAATAGGCTCTAGGGATGCCTGGCTGGCTCTGTTGGTAGAGCATGTGACTCTTGATCTCGGGGTCGTGAATTCAAGCCCCTTGTTGGGGGTAGAGTTTACTTAAAAAAATAAAAGTACCTGGTGGCTGGCACAAGTGCTTATTAGCTCAGTGCCCATACTTAGGAGCTACACCCTGAATGTTTGTTAAATAAATGAATGTCCAGTGAGTGAATAAAAGGATTAGTTTTCATTGTAACAAATAGTGGAGATAACAGCAAATGAGTATTCAGGCTGTGCTTTTCATTTGTATATTTTAATAGCAAACATGATACATATTCATTATAAAAATTCAAATAATATGTGGGTATATTCAATACAAGCTGAAAATCTCCCTTTACTTCTTGTCCCCTTCCCTTCCTTCATGCCCAAGATTATTCCTGTCCCAGGTAACCATTATTAAGTTTAGGGTTTATATTTCCATCTGTATCTTTGATTTATGTGTGCATATGTATAAATAAGCATTT